TCTTATTTACAGTACTGTGCACATGCAAGCTACAGTATACTAAAAGTCATCTTCCCACCTATGTTCATATAAACTGCAGTGTATACACCGTGAATCTTCTCCAAAGACGCTGTGTTTCCAGTTAGTTTCTGTTGATCTGTTTGTAGCATCAATCGGTAGTATGTTCTCCGCTTGTGCTTCCAACGGGTAAAACTATGAGGGTTCCAGAAAAATAAGCTATTCACAAAGGGTATACCATTTCCACTCGAATGTGATGTTACTGGATTAGCACAGCTAGTTTACGAGAGTTCGTCAAAACAGAAAGTAAACTTTTCACTCCCAAACGTGTGCAAATCAAGAAGAGAACTCAGAGTAAAAACGTAATTAAAAAAGTACCCATTCTACTGGAAAAAGAAACTATAAGGGGTTGTGAAGTTCACCGCCAATAATTACGATTAATTTGTCGATTTACTGGGACGCCCTGGAAGCAAACAAATAAGTGTCATTAAAACACATGACCGTAAGACTAACTCCTGTTCAGCGAAACAGTAACAAACAGATAAACAAATTCAGTCATTTGCCAATTGCAAGACTTTCGTTCTAGCTTCCACTAGTTTGTACAATAATGTAACTTTGACAAGCAGTCATAACGCAATACTGATTGTCAGCAATGTTTAGAATCGTGAAAACCGATTAGAAAATCCACCCATGCAAGCACAAAAGCGCTTTGTTCAGACATCGAAATCGCCATGAACAACCACCCACACCACGACTGATCAAAGCGTCATGGCTCCACTTGCGTCATAACTATGGCGTGATCGTATCAAAATGCTGTCTCCGTGTCTGTCCATGACGTGTCTGACTTCAATTGAACTTGCTACTTGTTTTTGTTCGTTTCGTCTTGAGAATTCTGTTTCAAATAAGTGTTACGTAACTAGCTTGATGATGAATAGCCGAAAACGAGCTTGTTCGATACATCATTTTTGTGATGACTACCCTGGGAATTTTTAACAAGAGTGTACATTCTTCCGACGAACGTTGAGTGACACGTGTATAACCAACGACGCCAAATATCAGAACCAAGTCAAGCCGCTTGAAACCGTGGTACAATTAGCATAAACAACATAATCAATTACAAGGAACAAACCTCAGTTCGTTTGCGTTCGTGGGATAAGATACAATGGGTGGCCGCAACAGGTCGTCAAGGGTCCAAAAACTACAAGTACAAGCACAGGCGACCGACATGTAATGACGAACCGACGAAATACGATCGGATCGGTCTAATGTGTGTCTAACTAGCCGGTCTTCGGACAGACCGATCAGTCGGCATCAGTTTCACGGCGGCCCATAGGAAGGCCGTATTCACAGGGGGTGGGGAGGGTGAGACGGGCAGGCAAAAATGGGTGTGTGGGCACGTAAGTGAGGTTCAATAATTGAGGGAGACAGGATGGAGCAATTAGTGAAATTAAACGCGGGTTGTGGAAATAACAAGAACAGGCGTCTAGTTAGGCGGGGTCAAAGGGCAGAGTTCAACCGGGTCAATCGAGAGGAATTCTGACTTCCAAAAACGTTCTACACAGAGATTGTATTGGAGTAAAATATTAAATCGGTGAAAGAATAACGAAAACCTGCAGTAGGTGATCACTTTTTTGCAAAAGACACTTGTAGTCACGCAACTCACAAGGCCGCATGTAAGACGAATACTGTCGAAGTGCCTAAGTTTACGCAGGAGTAGCCGCGGTTACCAGGACTCGAGCTGACAATCGTGCAAATAGTGTTCAGCGTCGGGAGTATCAATCAAAGACTAAACTTCTAGAAGTATTGAGCCCGGTCTGTCTACATATTTTAAACGGACAGAACTAATTGAAAATAGTCTGTTTTTACAAAATCCATGTGGGCACTACAATCTGTTGGAGTGATTTGCTTAGTGAGGTTTTGAACAAAAGAGATAATTTCATTAGAATAAAGGATCTCAAGGTTATCTCTCCTCGGAATAGTTTTGTGTTAAATTATCTAAACGCAATGTGTAAATTAGCGGGTTATAGTATTTGATAATCTTATTATCCACTCTAATTAAACAGCCACAAATTTTTCAGCTTACACGTTACTCAATATATGGCATGAATTTAGATACCTCACAGTAAAACTAAACGAATATATCCGTAGCTCTCCGTCGGACTGAAGTATTACTCGTAGTTAAGGCCTTACTTGTTATTGCATAAAGAAGTGGGTGTTCGTCTTATGCAATCTGGCTTTGCAGTGAATAAGTGGATTTAATGGCGACACAACTTGTGATCAATTACTCTGTCGGACAGACAGTTCTGATATCCACGAAATGAGATAGCTAAGTAACAAAGTAAAGACTACAGACCAACATGTTAGAAGGTTGAAAAGGATATTGAAGTGATAAACGTTGTACTGCTTGTTAGTAATTATTCAGCAATGTTGAAGTGTCAAAATATTCGGCTTGGAAAATGCAGATCCCTCAGATGAATTGCAAGCGATGATCTTCATGACACAACTGCCCGTTCTGGTAATTTTAACCCCGTAGCCAGCAGTTTTATCTCCTGGTCATTGTGATTTATTCCATTGTCATCAGTTTTTAGCTCTTGTCTGTCTAAGTTGACGGGGTTTATCGACCAACTTCGACTTCTGTCTACGTTCCAACGAACATGGGTGGTATTAGCGTTCACAAATCCACTGACCTCATTACACAGCGGAAAGACAGACAAGTTCTACGCCAAAGGATCATAACACTTAAATCCATATTCAATACGGATGCACTGACACAACGTGCTTGACGAAGAAGCTTCAGTTAATCAGCCCACAGTGCAAAATGAGCACAGTGGGCGCGCACTCTCCTGTTAATGAGCTCATTAGGGAGTCAAGGTCAGTTGTGATTAAAGAACGATTACTGAGATCGTCAGTCACAAACTACAAAATGATGAGATATGGTTAAGGTAATTAGCAGTGGCAAAACAAACTAGCTATGGGCTTAAACGGCCACAAGGATCCAATCGTAATGGAATAGCCGGCAATGACAAAGGTGATACGCTTCCCGTGTAGTATGAGCCTCACAAGAATAGCTACTGAGTAAAATCAGGGAGCTCGTGAATCTCTCACCGAAACTCGAATACCTACGCGTTCTCACAGCGGTCTTAGAAAGTCGTCAGATAAACCCCTCAAAATAATGAACTTGTTTCTAACGACAGGATTTTAATCATCAGTGACTCTACATTAACATCTGTATCTAATGAAACCTATGAGTAGACGGTGCAGAAGTAGTTTATCCAACAATTCTGCAATTTATCGCAGCTGAGTAAGTGGAAGCCGCAGCGTAAACTCATTTAACCAGACCGGAAGAAAATTATGACTTACCAACGCTTCCTCACACAAGAAGCTCAAGGCAGAACAGCTACAATGTATCAGAATCAGTTAGAGGTCACCACAAATTGACATATGTCTGCACACGAATAGGTATTTTGCAAAAGTGAGTGTTTCAAACAGTTGCTTTCGGCTTTTCTATGGGGTAAGTGCCAGTTACATACCAGGCACAGAACAGACTAGCAGAAGTCTCAGGTTACGGGTTGGACCATAATTTAGGGTGTAGGCTAGATGTGGTGGTGGCGTGTATGTATGAAACGTCCATAATCCTGAGAGCTGTGATCGTTTTACGCGTCTATCAACGCGTCCAATCTACTCCAACAAAAAACGGTATATTCACTCCCATATCTTAATATTCTTACTAAGATGTGTGACCTGTTCCTATTCTCGTGTACAACTGTTACACGTTTTCCGTAAATAGTAAGCTTTAAATGTGAATGACCAAACACGGCTGTTGGTTAAGCTTACTTCCTATGATTTATACGGCATTACGAAGACGACTGGACCACTCCATAGGGTGTTTGAAAGGGTCACAAATAAGACAGAGTCCAGCAAGTAGGTCAACGAAGGTCACAAAATAAACACGATGTGGGTGGGACATGCCAACTGCGTGTGTATGTGGTAAAGTTTGCGACCTGGTCTGTGCCCGGAAAAAGTGAGTGAAAACCATTTCGCTATGCTGTGCATGCATAGTGTCAGTATTAGCCATTCAAGAGGTCAGGTTAAACAAATTACAGCAGTTCGATTGTTTTAATTTCTTTGTTTTGTAAGTATGCTCGACAGATCCTTCAAATCTTACATATTCACATAAACACGCACACGCTAATGAACTTAGCTTACTGCATACCTCGATTTGACGTTGTGCTTACAAATTTGGAGTTTATTGTGCCTTGTTCTGTGGCGGTCATCTCACACAATGTACTTGCAAACTGATGGCTGCCCTCAGTTGGCGTTTGTACATTGTATCTATTTTTAACAAACTGAGACAAAAAAACTCATAAAGTGAAAATAGGCAACTGCTTACTGAGTGAATTTTGAGAATTCATCCATTTATAGACTTCAGAATACTGGTGATTGGCAAGAGGCTTTGGTTTTACCCACAATAGATCTCAGTTGTCGCATTCCTATAGGCTTTCATATTCAGCCCGTTTCAGAATCAGCACCATCAGAATGACGTAAAACATATTTCTTCATAAATTACACCGTTCTGCATATCGAAGATTTAAAATGTAACGCCTACTGTTCTGATGGCTCAGAATGGGGTTCTTCTGAAGGAACTCTTCTGTGGGTGCCCAGAAACTTGACGTGTCTTTGGTATGTAATAGCTGTTCACTAGTATTAGTAAATTCGTTAGTTGACTCGTTTAAATGTGGTTGGTTGGGACGGTGAAGCGGTATCACCCATTCACCAGGTTTAATAACCCACAGAAACATAGTCTGTGAAGTGGAATAGTTAAATGTTCTCTTTTAATTGAGAACTTTTAGCACGTAAAAATCAGGGTCAACCATTAGGTTGGAATAATTGGGTAGTCTCCAATGCGTTGCATGATTTAACTTGAACATGGTTGATAAAACACATTTCTAATGAGTAGTTTGTCAGGTTCATGGTTTTAAATAAGACCCAGTTGTAAAATGTCAGGGGTTCGGCTGGATTCGAACCAGCGACAGAATTACTTTGCCCAGAACGCAGCGAGCGCTCTACCAGCTGAGCTGCGGAGCCACGCCAGGAACTCGAAAATTTCATATTTGGACTCGGTTACTCACTAGTCTCACCGTGTCATATGGAATCCACCAAAAAAAAGCAAACACAAAACACTTGTCAAGTTTTTAATTTACCTCAATAAGACCGTCATTAAATATTATGCTAGGCGAAAGGCTTATCTGAATGCGAAGGCTACTATCAAGTGTGGGTGGTGTTCAATGTTGAAATTATCTAAGCACCAAACCTTCACTACTTATTCAAACCATGCTAAGTGGGTTCAATGAAGACAGTAACCTCAACCTAACCGAGAAGTCCTGATGACGGGGTTTCCGACTGGATAGAACAGAGTGATTCTGTTCATTCTCCTTTTGAAATGAACGGGCAGGCTGAACACTATTCATGCAAGGTTGTGGTTGAGTGTTTACATTTAATTATTCGGTCATGCCTATTGTGAAGTTCTGGCCTTGTGGTTAACACCTTAGTCTCACAAGCATGAAGGTCAGAGTGCAAACTCCGAGCTATAATAAGAGCGAAATTCGAGTCTGGTGCTTCCTTTTGGAGGGGGTCAGCCGAAGAGTTTATCTGAATATGAAGGCTACGATCAAGTGGGTGTGGTGTTCAATTTTGAGACTATCAAAAATGATCAAATATATATTCAAGGATATTTTCAAGGTGTGGATTGTCCTATAAACTTCCAATATATCGAACATTAGCTTACTTCTACCAAATGCTCTAATTCTCTTGATTGAAGCCATAGATTTTATGTAACAGTAAACTTAGGGTCCCCAAAATCCAATTTGTACCATTACTGTTTCTATAAATCTTTCTTACCATTCACTCAAAACATCAAGTTTCATTTCAGTGACGATGATTAGAAAGGGATGTGCGTCGCCTGTAGTAGAAACACTAGTGAGTTAAACGCCACCGGACAGTAACACTGGAAAATGGAACCACAGAGTTCACGTTAAATCAGACAAACTATCTCAGGCAAGAGATAACCGGACGACTTACCGATGGTCGTAATAGACTTTCAGACTAATTTACCAGTGTTCCGTCTGAAAATCCAGTTTGTCTGTTAAGTCAAACCACCATCCATCTTTTTATTGATTTTGAAATACGATTGTTTAATGAAATGTACTGTGTATCAGAATCCAGTGAAACATCGCAAACGCCATATAGTTCGAACGCCATTCTTCGAATTCAGAAGTGACGATTGATGATCTCAGTTACCATCAGCGAAAGGCTGCACAACAGTTTCGACTTATTTAGGTCTCAGCGACGTTACGTACACACTTGGGAAACGAACTGGTGACTTGTGAAAAAGAATTTCACTAATTGGGACAAGTAATTCACATGCTTTCTACCAACGCAATTGATTGTGTCTTCGTAGACTAATGGACAGTTGCCTGAAATAATATCCTATGATGACCTAACAATCTGCCACATTCTCGGGCGTAGATAGCGTTAGGGAGACTTAACATGATGGGACAGGCTGACCTGGACTTTGGACACGGCAACTAGAAATAACTGGTAGCAAAATCTTCTCTCAACTCTTTGAATGAGTCAAGGTGGATGTTTGCTCGTTTACAGACCGATCGCAAACGGTTAAACGATTTCTTTATTTTAAAAATAGGGATGTGTTACGAAACAACAACTATCCTGATACATACATCAAGTTCCACAGACCATCACAATTCTATTGAATTTCTACATCTACGTTGTGGGAAGGGTTGTGTTCATTTGACCAACCTATGAAATTAAAAATTAAAGCGTGGGAGGAAAGTGCACTCTTGAGTTAGACCAAGAGTATACCCGTAACGTATCTGTCGTACGCTTCAGTGTGCCCATCAGAAACATACCCAATTCATCAGTCAATCAATTTGTTCAACTAGTAATTACTGTTACATGCTTTCGTCAACGTTTTGCCTTCCCCTCAAGGATGAGATCAGTCATTCCTGTAGTGGTTAGCTATTAGGCTGGAGAGTATGTACCACCCCCCTGAAAGAGTGGTGTGAGATCAATCATGAAATAGCCGATTGAATCCAGCCCTCGAAACAAGGTGATCCGTCAGCCCGGTAACGGCAATTCACATAAAATTTTATAAATCCCGTTACCAAGACCCCATGAACTTTTGAAGAATGTTCTCAACCACCGCTCGGAAAATTCTGACAAGTAAGTACGCATGTTCGTCCGAAGTATATGGTGATAATAAGAGCCAACACTATCAAACCGGCGGAACACCATTCTGTTGATGGCAGCCGGAATCTACCGTTTACAATCCATAGTCATCTGGTCATTTACAGCCGCGGTGACATATCTGCTGAAAGAACAGAGATGGTTGGGAGAACGTTCTGAAGATTTACTATCAAATAAGCCGCATCAGTCGATCGACGCTTGAATTCAGCGATTTTCAGATACTTAGCATAAACCAGTCATTGGACCGCACCCATTTCACTGCTGCTTATGCTCACGACCTGCAGACAACCGAGGTTTTATTGGTTAGTTTACAGGGACATTTGTAATGCATCAAACCGGATTTTTGCTATATTTACGTCCGATTTAGCATTTCAGCCAAAATGAATCTAATAAAAATTTGATAATTTTACGAACCCTTTCCACTTAACCGTCCGTTAGCTATTTCCTTTGATTTCAGTTTACAGTTAGAATCGGTCTGTAAACTGAATTCGTTTCACAAAACCCGTGTTTATTCTACATTCTGCAGCAGAAAAATTTTAAACATTGCTGTAAATGGTGTTCACAGTCATGCAGAGTAATACAGAGATATCAGAAAAAGCCACGCAACCTACTCCACAAATTTATAAAATGAGAGTATGCGGAATGTTCCATAAATAACTTCTCTAATAATATGTTTTATCCGTAATAACGTATACTAATCCGCAAACTTGTTCTCACGACAAGAGGAAATCACGTTCTCAATAACAGACTGTTAAGGTGGCCTTCGATATTGTTTACTCAGACATAGATAACTTTTGGTCGTCAGTCAATTACATCTAAATCTAGTTATTCCTCTTCCCAACGAACCACGCAAATTGCTAGACTATAGTTCTCCATAGACCTTGTGAGACGAAAAACTGCTTTTTACCTGAAGTCTGACATTTTCTTCTCTACTAGCGTATAGCCCGTGATGATGCTTGTCACTAAAAATCACATAAAGTGCTATCTTTTAAGACGTCTTGTCTCTTCCCATAATGGTTCTGCATACTCTTTGCATACACCAGTATTGAGTTACATCGAATCGGTGTATGACATGGTGATAAGTATTTCTGTCAAGAGCAGTCTGTCTGTGAAAAACACACAAATACAAGTAAATATGAATAATCCATTCTGCTAAATCAAAAACGATAGAAGTGAATGCACCGCAAAATTTGATTAGGTGAATTAAGCCCATTAACATATATACACGTAAAAAACCTAGTTAATCAAGTGCAGAATCCAACCGAATGTAAACAGTCTGACCAATAACAATAATGGTTTATATTTTGTGCACCAAAGATGTAAGAGAGTTTATGACAAAAATAAGAATATTCTGTTAAACTTCTTCTCGCGATTTATGACAATTCACTCAGTAACGCATAATGGACAATTCCAATAACCCCAATCCAGACGGTCGGGTTAATGAGACTATCCTGTGGTTCCGAAAAACATCAGAGAAGTCGGTCAAAAGGATTTACACGGTACTACAGAAAAAATTACGATAGAATTGCACTTCGATCTTAAATGTAAATTAATCTGGCACTCAAAATATCCAGCAGATAAGGAACTTTCAAAATGGAGTAACAAAAAATACGTTCGCAAACAACCACCAGTCAAAAGGAAACGAGCTCATTAAACCAATCGGGTGAGGATGAAGTTGAAGGCGTGCCAAACATTGTCAGTTGAGAAAATTTTAGTAAGTGAACAATGATAGCTGTTGGATCTGTTGAAGTTCGTCTGGTACGCTCGTCGTCTTATGTTTGGTACGATGCAAAGCGATGAATTCTTTGATACATGTTTGGTTGGTTTGTAGAAAGCCGATCCCAAATTTGCTTTTATCTACGTTTGCCGTAGGTAGTAAACGATCATCATGAATTTTATACCACAAGGACACAAAAAATGTTTGATTTCTTCCTTTTTATAACTGTCATTGCTTATCTTGGTATTACTTGACACGCTGTCAACTTCATCTGTACCCGATTGTTTTAATAAGCTCATTCCCCGTTGACTGATGGCTGTTTGTGGACACGTGTTTGGTTACCTCATTTTGAACACCTTCCAGCTGGATTATCTGTGTACCCGGTTAATTCACATTGAAGGTGAGACAGTACCTTTGCTGTAATTTTAGTAAACAGCACCGTATAGATTCCAATCCTTTCGATCGCCTTTTCTGACGCATTTCGGATTTGGAAGATAGTCCCGTTAACCCTACAGTTTGTATAAGTGTTACTGGAATTGTCGAATACGCGTTACTGAATGAATTACCCGAAATCGCAAGGAACGATGTAACAATAGTTATTTGAAAAAACCGACATCTTATGTGTACAGTCATGATACAAAATTCATCAATATTGTTCATTACATACACCAAAAGACAAGCAGGGTAAATTTAAGATCGTTTTTTTACACATAAACCACATATGCTATAACGAATTCAACGTTCTGCATCATGCCAAACGTAAGATAACAAACGTGTCAAACTAAATCCAATAAATCTAAGATATTTGTGAAACCTTGACACTTGGTTTATCAAGGCAGGATCAACTTCATGAAATGCATATATATATATATAATGTCATATATTAACCTAGAAGAATCTCATTGATGTATGTTAAATTCCTCAAAGAAATATACGGTCATGGGATCAACACAAATAAAAACATATTGAGTAATTCTAAGCTTTCAGGTACAACTCAATCAATCAAACAAAATAAGGGCCAAATACAATTATTCACGTAGTTCAACTCGGTGTGCACTAATCCCCCATATCTGTCTCTTAGATTTTGGGATGAATTTTATTAATT